CGACTTGTCTATAGCACCCGGAACTCGAACCAAAGGAAGTAGTTAGTGCTGTTGCACCTAAATCGTACTGTATTATCCAATTTCCATGGCGCATACGGGCTTCACGTACGGTACGGTAGACATGATTTTCTGTGTTTCACAAGAATTCACAGAAATTTTAAAAAAAAAACCCCGTCCACACGCTTTTTAAAATTTCAGTGGGGGAAATATAGCCCTCCCGGAACGGGGGCTCTCTTTTTGAATTTTTGCAATCTTTCGCCTCGTGGCCGATGCACCAGCACTTTACGCACGAACCTAAATAGTCATGTTTAATATTAGGGCATGTTTTGAAGCCATGTCCATAGTATAAGCACACATAACATGGTTCAGTGTAGCTACCGAATGAGGTGATCCAATTATTTTTTTTTGATAATCGACTATGTTGACGACTTTTTTACACATAGTAATTATTTCTTCGTTTTCATTAAAAATCATCATCAGGCTCTTCTAACTTCGTATTATCTTCTTTTATTAAGTTTAGGATTTTAAGCAATTGACTCCGTATAGCGGTCTTCTTCTGGAAAGTAAGTTAAAATAAGAATAAGCACTATGTATATACAAAAAATTAAGACAAAAAAAAATAATAATATGAACATTTTACCAACTCTCTTAGTATCTTTGTAGAATGACATTTTGAATTTTTAGATGAATTGAAAAAAATATTTTATTTCATTGATATCATATATCTTATCTGCATTTGTTTCAATTCAGATTTGGATGGCTTGTACGTACAGTACGTGTACGTATCTGTGAAAATCAATTTATTACGCGTGACTACGTATCATATACCATATCGATATGCAGTATCGGTATTATGTTTTTGCGGTAAAAGCATGTAGATCAAAATCACCAACCAATAAAAACTTGAGCGGAAATTAGTAAATTCAAAATCGGGAATTCGAAGAGTGATAATCAAAATTGATAATCAAAAAAAGTGATACTTTTTGTAAAAAAAAAAAAATTATAAAGTTAGTAGAAGTAAAATATTTTTTTATTTGATGATTACCACATTTTCAAGAAACTAACCATTTATTTACAAAAAAGTGTCTTCTGGATACGGTATAGCGGGCGGTCGTGGTAGGTGTTTCGTTTTTTGGCAAGAGTTCCGAAAATGTTACGCTATGGCGGACCGCCCTGAGGAATGCGCATTACAATTAGATGATTATTTTGAATGTTTGCATCATACCAAAGAGGTATTTAGAAGACCATCCTGTAAACAGTAATATTCAAGTATTCGATAAAAGGTATAATAAAACCTTATTATTAAATAGAAAGCACGAGCAAGAGCAATTAAAGCCGAAGAAGTAAAACAAATTGAAAAGAAAAGACAAGAAGATGAAAAAGCACGAAAATCTACAAATTCAGCCGCAAAAAGCAATGTTACGCGTTTAGGAATTATAGATGATCAAAAATCATCTAATTAAACAAAAACTTTAACTGAGTTCGAAATTCAAAACGGTACTTGGTATACAAGCGTTACGTGAAAGATTACATTTATTAATGGCAAAATTATGTAATTCTAAATAAATGTAACAGAATTTTTTTTTTTTTTTTTAATGGAAAAAAATAAAGTTATCCAGTTTCTTAATTTAGTGCGAGTTGACACTCAACGCATTAATTTTGCTTAATAAACCGACAGAACTATATGGACCGCTAGTCTGCAAATGCCGAGAATGGATAGTAGAACAAGATTGATGAGACATTAAGAGCCAACCATCTGTACGATAAATTCGTTTGTTCTCACTTATTTGTGATCCTTGCCGTTCAATATTATCGGTTAGACTAAGCTAATAGGCTTAGCTACTTTGGTAATTCTAGTTTTTTTATCCACAAAGCTATTACGTAGCCGTAACAATGAAAACATTCGCCATTTGCTTGATGACCGTCTAAGTTTTCAAGCTTTAGTTCTACTATTAATTATCTTTTGTTCGTGTAGGTTTAATCTTCAGCTATAACGAGAAGTACCGTTCGGTGCCATCAGGGAAAACCGCATTTTGGGCTTTTAAAATTTGTAATTTACCGAACTCAGCATGATTGTTTAGGAATTGAGTTCGGTAAATTATAAAATTAAAAGTTACTTCTCTCGGCGGTACCCATTTGTTTAATTCAACAATTCAATTTGCAGAGTAATATATTCTATGAATATAGTAATATTTATAAACCTTATAAGCATTCGATAGTATCATGGCGGTTTCCAATCTGATAGAGTTCTAAAAAACTTTTGGCAGTCCCATTTACTGCCCAATCCGATTGTAAAATTAATATGCAACCTAGTATTCAAAAAAAAGATAACTTGCATAGCAATTAGCGTTAGCTTTCGATCATTGAGTAAAAGGGTTTTCAGCATAAGTAATGTCGAGATCAACATATCGTTAATTACGGGTCATGACTTTAGATTCCCATTATAACTTGGCGCTGTTATGAGAAATAGACATCGAAGCTTTTTTAAAAACTTATCACGGCAGTCACAGGCATGTCATCATGGCATGCTTAAAAACAAAATGATAAGGCATATAGTCAACGAATAATGTTAACAATTACTTGTACAGGGTAATATACCCGGAAGATCCTATCGAGAATTATTTGATCGTAAAACCAAATAACACGGATAAATTACGCGACCAATTTACATGAAAAACATTAGATAGAATATTAGAATTTCGGAAGACTTGTCTTTATTATTTAAAAATATCCCTTAAATCAAATTTAATTATAGCTTATCACAGATCAATCACGAAATCCCCCGAAAATTAAACAAGCTCCAATCACAGCGCAAGATAATCTCTAATAATTACGTGATTAAAGTTGGCCAATGATATTTTGTCAAATATTCTGTGTCGTATATATGGGCTAAGGTTAACAATTAGGTGGCCGGATTTTGTGTTGCCGGTAATTTCTAAATTAAGGTTAGATTTTCATATTCGTTCAACAAATAATTCATCGTTACAAGTGTAACTTGA